AAATTATACCGTGAAATACGTTTAAGGGGTTGAATTTTAAAAATATTTAATCTAATGAGATTTTAAAATACATTTGTTCATTTTAGTCTTTTTATAATAAATTTTAAAATTTGAGTGATCCCAAATTGATTATACCAATTTAAATTGTACCAAATTGTCTCATTTCTACAATAATCAAGTTTCAAAACATACGTTTAGGGGGTTGAATTTTAAAAATATTTAATCTAATGAGATTTTAAAATACATTTGTTTATTTTAGTCTTTTTATAATACATTTTAAAATTTGAGTGATCCCAAATTGATTGTACCAATTTAAATTGCACCAATTTAAATTGCACCAATTTAAATTGTACCAAATTGTCTCATTTCTACAATAATCAAGTTTCAAAACATATTTTTAAAATTCTAATTGAATTATAGAGGAACATACCATGCTAACACGTGCTTGAGCAAATTTGTTCCTCGAAAGAAGTTGACATCATGTGCTTTGTTAAATTTTCTATTCTAATCCAAGTGGAGTTCTAGTTGACCTTTTCTTTTGTAATTGTATGGTTTGACTTAGTAGGTATTATGGTGAGTGGAAGAAAATGTATGAGCTAATTTACACTCAAGAGATGAAAGAGAAGTTACATAAAAATAAAAAAGGGTTGTTTGTTAGTTAATCTGGTTCATAATTTATGCATTGATTCAAATTGAATTTTAAAAGTCTAGACTCTACATCTTGTTATTATAATTATTTGATTAACTTTGTCTTATACTATTTTGTGACTGGTTGGGAAGAAATTCATAGTCTTGAGTTGAAATTTTTGACGAATTATCAGTCGGTGCTCAAAAGACCCAAAACAATATAGAATAAAGTGCATCATTCTCTAATTTTACATTATGTAGTTTCTACAAAACTCTGGTCCTCCCATGGTTTAAACTTTGATGTCCCTCCAATAGAGTTGTTTCAACTTCTTAGAGAGAAGAGTTGCAAGCCCCCGACATGCAACTAAGATAGACCAAAAAGTGAACATTGACATTCTAAAATTCTAAATATAGACATAACCATTTGTATGCAGTATTAGATTATAAACTATTGATAATGATTTTATTCTTGACCAAATATTCTTAGGGAGAGTAGGAGGTGCATTTAATAAAGAGTTATGGATAATTATTTAAAGATTAATTATAACCAATGGTATAATTGCGAATTATCAAAATTTAAAAGGGTAAAATAGGAAATTAAAAGTTTTGACATGGGTATTCTCTTTTATAAGTAGTATAGATATAGATATAGATATAGATATAGATTAGCAAGGAGGTCATCAAACTTATAATAAAAGTGAAGTTCCTTCAATTTTTGGCCCAACTTGAACAAAGCATTAACTACAATTACATTTTCTGAAGCAATGTTGGACCTAAATGCAATAAAGAGAAATAACTCTTGCATATTAACTCATTTGTGAGAGAGGCATCAGAATGATGACTGTCTCATGACAATATTCATTGGAATTTTAGAGTCAGACCTAGTATTAAATGGGGAATTCGACATAGATGCATTCAGATCCACACCAATGGCCATGACGCGAATCTTTGCCTAAAAACTGGAACCAGAACCAACAGGGCCAGCAAAAGCACACACCATGAAATGGACTATAGAGTCCAAGCGATTCAAAAACCACCACATGAATCTAGCGTATATGGATTGCTGAGGCAACAAATGAACAACAAAAATTACTCCAAAATAAAGCCACAATGAAGTAGTAAGTTCACTGTGAAGAAAGAGGTGCTCCAGGGATCCCTCATTATAATTAGTACAACAAATATAGAAAATCTGAGAAATTGAGAATTTTTCCTAAAATTTTCTACACTTAATCCGAAACCCATGTGTCAAATACAGACTAAGATATTGTTATACCAAACTAAACTTGCACCTTTCTTTTACTAATTAAGTGTAGGCGTTTTCAATAGGATGAGGAGGAGGAGGGAGAGGTGGAGGTTGAAGAGGAGGAAGAGGAAGAGGATGATGAGGAGGAGGGAGAGGGGGAGGTTGAAGAGGATGAGGAGGAATACAAGGTCGTACGTCCCCTCGACGATCTTGCTGATGAGATCGTACTGCTGCAACCACGTCGGACGATTGCTGCCGCCGCCGGAGCTCCTACCGTCACCCATGGCAACTGCGATCTTTTTCCCTCTTCTCGATTTCCCCCCCTTTCTTTTTCCCTATTTCACTTTCCTCGGCCGTGCGCTTGAAAGGTAAGCGGAGATGAGTGGCCTTTTACCATATACCCCTCGAAACTATATTATTGGTGACATGTTTTTGATGAGGGAGTTTTATGCAAAAAATTCCATCTGCACTGGCCGGAACAGTAACTCCGGCCAAATTTAATGGCTATATGCCTCCGGAGTCTACAAAATATACCAATCAGTCAAAATTAAAAAAATATACCAACATGTCACCAAGTGTCTACAAAATATACCAATCTGACCATTTTGCCGAATATATTCCTATATTCAATATATGATTATGATATTTTTTTTGGTAAAATGTGGATAGTTATGATGTGGTAGGCATTAGAAAATATTTAATTAGTAAAACTATTGATAGTTTTTATGAATAGTTTTAGTTTGATGAGGATTTTTTAGGTATATATAAGATTAGGTAACCACCTACTATATTCTGATAGGACAGAGGAATATATGTGTACTTATAATATGACACATATTAATTTTTTATGCGTTTATGACATGACATAATTTTTGTGTATTTAAAAGTTTCACCGCTTTCTCCTATAAATAAAGGAGGGGCTGAGTGTCTAAAACAAACTTCACGATCAAAATTCACTCTAAATTCTTAACCATGAGGTATTTTTGGTGACGAGGTTAGATTACAATCAATAAATTAGAAATATCATAACCGATAACTCTTCCTAATTCAATTTCGATGATGTATTAGGGGGTGTTTGGTTGCATTGTTTTTGAGAAATGTTTTCTCAAAAGTACTGACGCATGGCATTTATGTAATTAAGAGTTTTCTATACATTTCTATAAACAGTGTTTGGCTCCAAAAAAATTTACAGAAATGTTTTCTGTAAAGTGCCCAAAAGTACCAAATTTTATGAAATTTGATTTCCTTCTAAAATAGGAGGAAATCTCTTGGAAATCTGACGTATTCATTATTTAAATAATAAAACTCATTAACTCTTTTCTACAAAGTTCTCATTTTTCTATAAAGTTGGTGGTGTTTGGTTACATTTCTATAAATTATAGGAAATGTTGCTATTTTCCCAAAAGTTATTTCTCATTTTCTTGTTTTGAACCAAACAAGCACAATACAAAAAATAAGAAAATTTGTACTTTTTAACTTCTCAAAACTTTTCCTATAATTTTTTAAGAAATACAAGGAAATCAAATTTGGGATGGAAAACATTTTCTATAATTTATAGAAATGTAACCAAACACCCCCTTATACTAAGTCGCGTATCCAAAACAAACTTTATAATCACAATTCTAAGAAGACAAATTCTAAGTTCTCAAGCATGAGAGATATTTTTAGGGACAAGATATCATCAATGATTTAATGGAACCTTCACTTTGGGTGACTCCTTGCCTAAGCAAAGGACAGCTGGCGACCAAGCTCAAGATATTTTTCCCACTGGCTCTCTATACAAAACACCACTTTCCAAGTTTACCCTCGTCCCATTACCGGATTCGGACAAGGTTTTTCCGTAATAATGGCGATTTTTTAGTCGTAACTGTTACCCCTACGTAATTCTTATTAGGATCCGAGTCAGATCAAACGGCGGGTCCGCTGGTTTCCTCAGAGGTCGCCGTCGAACCCTCTCGAATCTCTAAAACGTCCGTTCGTCCTTTTTTATATTTGGTCTCGATTCGATTTCTGGAGATCGAAAAAAGAAAAAAAAAAGAGAGAAACGAGAACTGAAGGCGATCTCTTAATCCCTCCGCGTCGGCAATTCTGAGGAATTGAAATATTAGAGCGAAGTTCGTCTTTCGTTCTAATTCGTTTGGTGCAGTTATTATCCCGTGATTTTTCGTTTTTTAGTGGATTTTTTTTTGTTCCTGTTGGTGTTATAGGTAATTAGTTGGTTAATTTAGTCGTTAGATTGGCTATTTTTTCTGAGAGTTTGAATTTTTTTAGCAATTATGTAGGCTTTTAGCAAGTTTAGGTAATCAATCGTAATTTAGTAGGTACACTAAATATTCAGCCAAAGATTGATTTTTCCGTGAGTTTTTAGCTTTACTGTACTATATTAGATAGTATTCAGTTTATTGGCTAGGAAATGCGGATGGTTTGGTGTTAAATCTATTTGTTTGGGTGTTTGCATATAGCTGTGATGTGAATGCCGTTTATCTCTCTTTGAATGAGATGGACATTAGATCGATTGGCCATCCCTATATACTCATATCATGATTTAGTTAGATTGTTCTTCCTTGTTTGTGGCACATTTGAAATCTCCGTGCCTGTTTCGTATTCTCAATTTTGCAACTTGATATCCATGTTTGCTGTTTTATCCTTATTAGCTGCTGGCTTGTTTTGTAGCTCACTGCTGAATCTTGCCTCTGTCTGTGTTGGTTGAACTCTGGATGACATTCTTCTATGTTGATATTCCTATTTTTGTCAGTATGTACAGCAAATGATCTGTTTGCGACTTTGCCCCATGGACTGTTTTGTTTGCGTCCCTTTACTATGTTGTGACCCTCCTAGTTTGCCCTTGTCAATATTTGGTTTTTAGGCTTTAGATTTGCTGCCCAGGCCTTTTAAGTCCCGTATTCTTCGTAAGATAGCTAAGCAAGCACAAAAATAATGGGAACTGGGATTAGACAGAGAAGATTGTAGGAAGTGGATTAGGGATTATGCACAAGCCACTTAGTAGAACGTTAAGGTGTTTTTTTTTTCTTTTGCAGTTCGATCTCTTTTGCATTTCATGTTTGAATAAGCTATTATAAGGGTGAAGTTGAAGCCTTTATTGAGGCTTAGTTTGGTTTTGCATTTCATGTTTGAATAAGCTATTATAAGGGTGAAGTTGAAGCCTTTATTGAGGCTTAGTTTGGAACCCCTCAAGTCGATGTTAGGTATATAAATGATGGTTCAAAACAGTGTTCTCTCAATCCTTGATGGAGTGTGCCATCAATTTATGATGGGTTGAGCTTTGACTACGGTTTGGCTGAGGTGTAACCATAGTTGTAGAAGTTATGGACAGGAATACTAATACTATTAGTTTTGTTCTAGGTACATCCAGCTTTTACTAACCATCCTATACTTTTATTCTTGAAAATATTTGTCAAGCTTCACGGGTATTTTATTACCTGTTGTATAAATGCACATTATCAAGCATCATGGGTATTTTATTTCCTGTTTTTTATCCCTCAAGTTACCGTAGTATTATATCTTTTATAAAAATATTGAAAGACTTTTGCTGAATTTTCTCGGTGCTGAAAGGTTATTTGAGGTTTTTCACTGAGATCATCCTGGTCACTATTTATTTTTTAGAGTTTGTAACCATAAAGTATTGCTTTTCCGTGTGTACACACACACAGTTCTATTGGGGATGGTAGTACGAGAACAAATATTTTTGTTGGACTTTAACAGAATATTTGAATGCCACACACATTTTTGAGCTTTGCATACTTTTGCCTGATTGTATGACACTTTCAGAACTTTCCACTCATGTTATACATGTTTCTAGCAATTGAGATTTGAGAGGAAGGAGATGAAAAATGACCTACAGATGCAAGTGGAAGAGTTCCTTCAAAGCTTTATTTATCATTCCACCCTATCTACAGTATTCAGAGAATGCTTGCACCTTGTATTTGTATCTTTCTTATGTCTATCAGTCTATGCATATGTCCCTAGAAAGAGGAGATTTTTCTGCACTCATATTGAAACTCCTAAGGAAGTGCAATGTATGCTTCTCCATCTGATCTGTTTCTGTATGAGTCTCAACTCGGTGATATCCAGCTTAATGAGTGCTTGAATAATTACCTCCTTTGTCTCCCTACAGCAGCATAGCTGAAAGTTTTATGCAGGTTTATATGGCACAAACTGCTGGTAATTTTGCTCTTGGTCATTGGATTACCATCAACTAGGAGATTTAGGGAGACAACATGCCCCTTATCTACAGTGATTAAGGTAGTAGAAAGAAAATGGAGCCCGGTAATGTTCTGAGGTAACTTTTTTTGAAAGTATATGTTTTAGCCAAGATTCATGGGTGTGAGAGAGCTTTAACGAAGATGAAGAGCGGGTGTTCTTGCAGAGGTAGGCTTGCCCATTTGTTCTAAATTTAACGGAGTTGTCGGAACGATATACTTCTCATAATCTTCCTACCTTTTCCCCTCTTCCCCTTGTATTTTTGTCTTTCGCATTTGATGCTGTGGTGTATTTGCTTTTACCAGAATCTTTGGAGATTCGGGTGCTGGTGTTTCTTTTGTTCGATATTGTTTTTGGGCTGCTTCGAGCAATCAGTGATTATCTGTTAGCAAGTTACTCTTCTCAAGTGGTGATAAAGATTTGTAGAGCGGAGCTTGATTTTCATATCCCATGGCATCCGTGTAACTACTCTTGTTCTGATGATTACATCTGATGGGAATTGGGATAATGCTGATTGTGGAGCTGCTCAACGTTGATTGAATTTTATGCTTGCTGATGTGAATTGGTCTACAGCAGTATAAAAGATTTCAAGAATATCTTGATGTTGCCTGCTTTGATCGGCTGATTATATGCTGTTCTTGGACTAGGGCTAGTTGGCTAATATCTTTATGTCTGCAGGTTGTCCTTTAGTTGCCTCGAATAGTTACCTTGTGGGGTCAACTTGAGATATAAAATGGGGGCTCTATCCAATCAATCCGAGTCACGTGATGTTCAAGGGTCGACAGAGCTGGTTGAATTAATTGATAAAGACTGCAATATCCCAACTTCACCTACATCTTGCAAGTCCTCTGATGAAGATTGCATGTCGACGGAAGAAATGAGAAACAATCTAGATGCTGCTGCTTGTGAGACATTGGAAAGGGGACATATGGAGTATGGGTATGTTCATTTCCCCCTTCTCATTTGGTGAAAGTTGGCATCTTTTGTTCCCAAGTTACTCGTACTGAGGCGTTTTAGCTTGTCGTATCAAAATAAATGATTAGCTGGCATCTTTTGTTCCCAAGTTACTCGTACTGAGGCTTTTTAGCTTGTCATATCAAACTAAATGATAGAGGTTGTATCAGGTTGTCCAATGATTATTAGGTGACAGTGGTTTTCATTAGTAGGGGTGGCTTAACCACACCAGCTACTTTAACCTGATTCTATGGGGCTGGGCTGCAACATTAAATTCCATACTAGGTTCTCTAGGAACGAAGCTTCTTGTATTGAACCGCTATAAATCATGATCTTCACAGGTGTTCACATTATCGACGAAGATGCCGCATTCGAACTCCTTGCTGCAATGAGATATTTGATTGCCGACATTGTCACAATGAGGCAAAGGTCAGTTAGTTTACCTTTTATCTTTCAATTTCTAACAGTTACATTTACTGGGTTGAAGGAATTTAGTAACTAACTATTTTATTTGTTATCTAGAATTTTTAGCTACATAAATCGACAGTCTTCATGCTAATATTTTAATTCTTTTGTGTATTGAAAACTGTTCTATCGTTAACACTTAGATTAACCGTGCGAAAAAGTATTAGGTTTTGCTAGCTGTACGCTTTATCTGATCATGTAGGAGATCAAAGTTTTGAATATTATCTTTCTTTCTCTTCATTTTTATTAAACATCAACCATCGAGAGGATTCTTTCTATTTCATTTTGCAGTTGTGTTTCTAAAATCCATGCTCACTGTATCTCAACATGTATTTATTCCCTTTTTTATAGAAGAGGTCTTATAAGTTATATGAACTATTTATGAAATATCTTCAATCATTTTTGAAAATCTTAATAGTAATCTATCTCTCTGGTTATATTATTCAAATATCTAAGTTTGCTGCCATGGTTGATCAAAGTATCTTAAGTTTTGTTCATACACATAAGTTTTCCTTCAGTGTAAGAGACTTTACATTAGTAAGCTTGTGGATAGCAATTAATAAGCTGGCCAAGAATAATACTATCCTAGATTGTGGCTTAACAGATATCTCCATGATGTATGTTTGATTTACTTCTTTATTTGAAAATTAATTGTATCATCATCATTATTAGGTAATTGTGTGCATCTTCTAATAGAGTAACATGGATCTTCTTCTTTGGACAGAATTCTATTGATGTTGATAGGATGCATAGACATGAACTTCCACGTCATGAAGTGCGACAGGTTGGTTACTTTTTCCCTTGAAAAGAAAAGACGACGAAAAGAATTTGTATTTCATAATTTTAACTTTTTCCCCATCTTGATCTGTCCTTGTAATTGTTACTATTCACTTATTCAGGTTATATGCTCATTGTGTGGAACTGAACAAGAGGTGAGTGTTGAGCATAAACTGATCATCTTAGCATTTCCTAGAGCATGCTGCAGTATCTTGCTCAAACCATGGCTTTTTATTTTTATTTATTATTTTTTTGAGTTCATTGTATGTTAACATTTGTCTAAGACTAAGTTCCATTTACTTGATTTTATGAGACCTTCATTTTGACACTCATGACCTTTAAATAATATATAATTTTACAACATATGCAAATTAACTTGCTCAGTGTGAGTTTACATTTATTTTGGATGGTAAATTCCAATTTGCTGATGCAGAATCATGCTTCTGTTTGCTTTTAGTACCTGAGAGCATGATTATACTTTTTGGTAATTCTTGAGGGCTTTTCTAATATGCTTGCTGATAATTGACATTCCTGATTTGTTTGGCCTATCAGAGTAATTAACTAATTATGATAGCCACTTGCCTATGATCTCCGTTATATTCTGTTTTCTTCGTTTGCTTTGTTAACTTTAATGGGCATAGTTTCCTTACTTTATTCTCTCCGAATGGCTTGTATGACAGGTTCGGCAAGTGTGCATCAAATGTGGTGTTTGTATGGGAAAGTACTTCTGCAATACTTGCAAATTATTTGACGATGATGTCAGTGAGCAAATTACATTTTACAGGTGTCTGAGCCCTCTATTATTATAATTTGTTCCTCTTGTGTCTAACTTAGTTTTCTTGCTGATTTTCAGACCTCAAAGCAGCAATATCACTGTGATGGCTGTGGAATCTGCAGGTGTGATAATTATTACCTATTTTCCCTGTATTTTTTATGCTAGTAGTCTCTTTCTTGGAGGACATTTGGATCCCCTTGTTAGTCAGTCATAACATTCAATTTTTTTCCTCTTCTTTTCCACAGAATTGGAGGGCGAGAAAATTTCTTCCACTGTTATACTTGTGGTAATGTCCTATTTTAAACAGTTGTTTCTTTTTCTAAGAATACCAAAATTTTCAATTTAATTGTAGCTTTTAGATTGTAAATCTGCAAACTGATTGTACATCTTCAGTTTGCAGCCTGTTGAAATTTGTTTTTCCTGATACTTAAATTTCATTGGCCTAGTCTTTTTTTTTACTCTTAACATAAACTAAATTCTTGCCAAATGGTACGTGATTTCGTCCACATTATTGGCTGTGCTTGCTATGCAGCGGTCACTGCAGCTTCTTCCGTGAACCCTGTGCCAATTAGGTTGGTTTCAAGATACACAGCCATGATGTTGGTATCAAGACCTGCCTGTTGGTCTCCTATGAATTTTTGCCAAGGCCTTCACTTGCTTTTTCTTTACTATGGTTGGAAATTGGAACCAACATTGGCATTGACCATATTCTCTCACATAATCAGTATAATTATTTATATAATTCTATTTTGATGCCATTATTTATATAATTCTATTTTGGTGCTTTTTTAACTTGGATGATGTCACATGTCCTAGTACCAAGGTTTGACTAGTCGAGAACTTGAGCACGTTATAGTCAATTTTTCAATGCTCTATTTCTTTCTTATATCTACCTAGATTGATTAAGAATCCTTTTTCCCATCCGTTTCACAATTCCATCTACATAGGCTTAGGTTTTTTTATTCTTTTCCTTGCACACACTGGTGGTTTTCCTTCCTAAGACTTCTTTATGCTTTGGATTGGCATGCTTGCAGATCATATCTTACTCTCTGTTATACTTTCCAATGTTGTTATCATCCTTTGATGTCTTTTTCGTGGTTTTGCATCACCTTAATATAACAATGTCGCATTGTGCATACTCATCGTGATGTTTTTAGAAATCGGTTAAGGTACTGATGTCAGATTTCACTTGTGGGTATCATAATGATGGTTTTGGGTGTTACTTTTTTTTCTTTCGGAATTAAAATTGAACCATAAAAAAAATAAAACTAAAAATAGGAATGCTATCAAGTTAAACGCATTGTATGTGTAAACTTGTAAGTTACACCCCCTATTTCCACCAACACTATGTGGTGATGGAAAGTGGAGCCCCCTTATTTTTCTTCAGGTTTGTGGCGAAGATATTAGTGTGGTCGCTCCTGTGTATTTCATTACCAAAAGATAAGCTTCAATTACGGATTCTAGAAAAGCACGAACTGCTGATGAGCAGGGGTCATCACTGACAAGATATCAGTAACATGCCTGATATACTGACCTGTACAAGACTTCGCTCCAAAAGACTTACAGTCACAGAAGACACAACTCAAAAGAGAAACCAAAACTTCAATTATGGCTCTTCATTGCTTTGACTGCACAAATTCAGAATGAACGCATACAGAATGGCAGGAATCCCTGTTCTTTACATTTTTCTGCAATCTTTTTCACATCACTGAGTTTTTGTGAATTGTAGGTTTAATTTTAGCTATGTGAACAATTCTTTCTCACTGTTTTGTGTCGGTTCCCTAGAAAACTGATAAAGTGATGCTACCTTCAGCCAAATACTTAAAACCATGATAATGTATTATATTTTAATTAGCACATGACCCATTTATTAGCGAGAAGTCTATGCTTCACTAGCAATTCTCATTGTTTGAAGGTGGTTATCTCTCTAGTTTCATTATCATCTCATCTTCAGTGTTTTTAGTATTTCATTTATTTGTTCATTTCAGACATCTTTACTGATCATTTTCCCTTCTGTTCTATAATTTTAGGTTGTTGCTATTCAATTCTTTTGAAAAATAGCCATCCATGTGTGGAGAGAGCAATGCATCACGATTGTCCTGTGTGCTTTGAGGTGAGATTTTGCTCTTATGTGGAGAACTCCTTCAAGCGAAAGAGGAAAGTGTATTACCTTACCAATTTTGATTTTGTTCATTACTAATGCAGTTATTTTTTTCTTGCAGTATCTGTTCGAATCAACGGAAGGTATAGCGGTACTTCCTTGTGGCCACACCATTCACATGAGTTGTTTGAATGAAATGCAAGACCATCTGCAGTAAGTTTCCCCCCTCTTAGCTTAAATTTTTTTTTTTGTTGGGACAGCCGATTGGCTTCTTGTCTTTTCGATATACATTCTAATCTTAAAAATACCCCAGGTATGCTTGTCCCCTTTGTTCTAAGTCGGTTTATGACATGTCAAAAGTATGGGAGACGCTGGACACTGAAATAGCAGCTACACCGATGCCGGAACTTTATCATAATAAATTGGTTAGTGTTCCTCTATTAGCCAAGAATATCTATTGATCTGATGCGAGTACTGTCTTTTAGATTCTGATAATATATAATTGACATACTTAGGCACCTCTTGTTATCTCATTGTCTGTCATTACTCAAACCCATTTTCTCTTAGCATGATTTCTATCCCTAGGAAACTTGAGGAACATATAATTTAAATTTTTTTACACTGCAACCGCCATTGCTTTTTCTTACCCATGATTAACTGATTGGCAAAGGCAGAGGGCGAAGAGTCAAGCTATATTGACCCCTATAGAACGGTTTTAACGTATCATGTCTTCACACTGCAATAACTCGTCATTATCAGTCGATCTATATGCATCACATTTTCTCTGAATATTCTTTTCCAATGAATCATACAGGTTCAGATCCTATGTAACGACTGTGGAGCTATGTCGAAAGTCCGATATCATGTGGTTGCTCAGAAGTGTCTCAACTGCAAGTCATATAACACCCGCCTGATGTAATCCGGAGTGCTGAAGGTCGGGACACATTATTTCTCGATGTTCAATTACTGGGCGGTCATTTTCCTGGGCATTTGGAATGATCGATTGCTGGTTTCGAAAAGGCGAGGCAGTGAGCTGTCCAGTAATCTGAGGGCGGGGATGCTTTTCAGAAAGGCGAGGCTCTGGCTATTTGGAGATCACATCTTCTATGTGTAGATAAACCAGCAGACTTTGTTTTTTGTGCTTCAGATACTCTTTTGATTACCACTCTATATATAGAACTCAAATGTCGGGTAATAATGTTTAAATCGTAAAGTCATCAAAATTGCTATTCGATCTTCAAAGTCTCGTAAGTTGTCTTGTCTCAATATTTAGTCCGACTGCATAATTGAAATTGTCATTACGTTCGCTAGTTTTATAAAAAAAAGTCAAATTTAATTTATTTCACGGACTAATTTCAAAATATTGAAGGTATAATAAGAGAATAATTCAGAAAAGAAATCTAACTTAAAATGACGGTCAAATTTTCGAAACCAATCCTGATTTGAGATTTATTTTTAAAAGACCTATTTGAGATTTATTTAGCATCCCTAATCCTTAAAATTAAGGATTAAACTTCACCAGATTTAGTTCAATACATAGTAAGTGGTAATCTCAAAGAAAGATAGTCGTTGAAAAATTTACTAAGCTGGGATTCGAACCCTACACTTTTATTATAAACTTTAAGGGATTTAGAATCTCATGAAGTTTAGTAGCAAACTATGATTAATTAATGACTAAACTTTATGAGATACTAAATCCCATAAAGTTTTTATAACTTATTTAGCATTTTCGACCTAGTTTCAGCAAGCTGGTTGAAACTCGATCGAAAATACTAAATAAATAATAAATAAATCTATTTTTAAAAATAAAGTTTCAAAAGAATTGGCTCTGAAAAATTTGTCTAATACGACAGAACCCGATTCGGCCAGCTTCGTCCAATCCATGAAACGGGCTTGAAGGCCGAAGCAAACTCATACTCTGACACAAACGAAAACTCAACTACTCGCTCAAGCCTACGCGACCGAATCCAACTCAGCTTCCCTCACACCGCCTCACGTGCGCATCGCGTCGTCTCTCACCGGCAAACAAAACTTATCCCCAAATCGCCTCCAGCTCCCGATCATCAAACCTAGGGTT